AGCTCTCGCCCTAGCTCTACTTCATGGTTTCTCCAGGCAGACTAAGGCAGAGAGAAGACCATTCACACACGCATGATACTCTCAACCCGGCAGCTGCTCTGGGCAGCCGGTACTGTTTGCAGCAGCTGATGTGCATGGGCCATGTGCTCCGGCCTTTTGTTCTACCGACCACACACACCCGGGGGTCTGCTGGGACAGGCAGCTTGCACTCCTCGGGGTCTGCCTGGGACAGGCAGCTTGGTCCTGAATGCTGGCTCGTTGCTGAGCGCTTGCTCATGGTCTCGTATGGAGTGCAGTCTGTGGTATTAATTCCAGAAATCCCGACTGACCACCTACATTGGCTAGGCGGCAGGCCCAGCGCCCCTGGCATGCCCGGGAAGGGCGAGCACAGTGTCTGCAGGGCCTGGAAGCGAGCCTCCGGGGTGCAGGGGGCCGGGTGGGTGGCGGGGACCTGGGGCGGCTGCTCGTCTCTGGCACAGCAGGGCAGGGTGATGGCCGGGTGACACGGGCCCAGGTGCTGGTCTTCCTTTCCCTGAAATCTCCGAGAATTAAATGTTGGCAGCCACTTTGAATTTGTTTTGTAAAATACAGTGCAACAGGCCCAGAGGTTCAATCTGGCCTCTGGGTGGCGAGTCAGCAACATTAGAAAAATAATGTTTGTGATACAGACTGTTAATAGTAGATCAAGGTGGAAGCCGGTGCAGCCGCGCTGTGTGTGTGTGTGTGTGTGTGTGTGTGTGTGTGTGTGTGTGTGTGTGAGAGAGAGAGAGAGAGAGAGAGAGAGAGAGAGAGAGAGGAAGCGATATTGACTTCAGGGGGGTCTCCACTGGAGCTCAACTGCCTTTACCGCCTCCATAGCACCTTTAACCTCCGCTCTCACAGGCCGCACGCCAGCCGTGTTGGCCAGGAGGCCTGGCTAGAATTCTACAACGTTGCATTTATTTGGCTTATTTTAATGGTTACTGATGGTCAGTCAGTCTGGGTTTGCATTTTTGGAACTTTGCATTTAGAAAATGTTTATTTCGGTAGCGAAAGCGCCTGATTTTAAGGAGAAACTGTAAAGCGGGCATGACCCGGTACCCGAGCGCTGCCCTCCCCCCGTAGGAGCTCTCTGCCCAGCAGATCGCCGCCCTGGGCCCCGAGAACGCGGCCGCCGTGACCCCGGCCCAGCGCCGGCTGCTCCGCGCGCCGCAGCTGCAGAGCCTCCAGCGGGCGCTAGATGGCGCCAAGTCGCGCCCCTGGCTGGATGCTCCCCCGAGCGCAAGCCCCAGCCGGACGCCCTCCTCGCCTTCTCACCCAGGTGAGCCGGACAGCCCTGCCCACCCCCATCCCTGTGCTCATCCGTGTCCGGTCCTGGGCCTGGGCGGGAAGGACCTAAGATGCAAGGCGGGGTCTCTGGACCACTGGAGATTCTGCCTTCAGAGAAAAATCCTGTCTCTACCAAACGGTGACAGTGACTCAACTCCCCGCTGCCCGTGAAAGTCAGCGGTGCAGGGCAGCTTTTATTTATTTTTTAAAAAATATTCCTTTATTGATTTCAGAGAGGAAGGGAGAGGGAGAGAGAGATAGAAACATCAATGATGAGAGGGAATCATTGATGGGCTGCCTCCTGCATGCCTCCGACTGGGGATGGAGCCCGCAACCTGGGCATGTGCCCTGACCAGGAATCATCCTGGGACCCTTCAGTCTTCAGGCGGATGCTCTATCCGCTCAGCCAAACCGGGGCAGCTTTTAAAAGCCACCAGTGTCACGGGCCTCACTCAGAACCCACTGAATCAGAGCCGCTTACGACTAAATTCACTTCACTGCTGCCTTTGCCTCTGCCCGCCTTCTCGCTGTGCAGTATTAATTAATAAATCTAACCAGTGTATATTGGGCACCTGCTGTGTGCCAGGCCTGTAGCAGGGGCTGGGAATACCGAGGTGAGCAAGGCAGGCCCAGCTGTCTTGTAAATGAACAAGATGATTTCAAAGCTGGTACGAACAAGGAAGGAAAGAAGCCGGGAGGTGAGTGACTAGGGGCTGAGCTGAGCGGGGAATGGGACCCGGCTTCCTGCGGTTCCTCCTCGCCTCCCCCAACCCCTCCTTCCCTCACTCACCCACTCTGTGATTCCTCTGTCTTTAGTGAGCACCATCCTCGGGCTAAGATGTGGGGAGACAGTTGTGAACAAGCCACTTGTGTCCTCCATCCTCAGAGTGTGGGGCAGGAGACATAGTGCCCAGGGGACATGAGGCAGGTGCTGTGGTGGGAGCACAGGCATTGAGGGGACACAGGAGACGCAGCGGCCCTCGCTGGGGACGCCGGGGAGTGGCCATGGAAACGTCCGGAAGGCAGTGAGTGACGTCTCAGCCCCACCCAAGGTGGGAGAAGGGTACTCAGCCAGTGGGTGTCCCAGGTGGAGGGGACAGCGTGGGAAAATACCCAGAGAGAAAGAACGTGGACTGGAACCTTCACTCTGCCTTTCCCAGCCTCCCCTCGGGGCTGGCGAAGGAGGGGGCTCCCAATTTCTGCGGCCGCAAGAGGCAGAGGTGGCACTTGTAAAGAGGAGCCATGCCCTGCGACTTACTGTTATTATTTTTAAAACTTCATTAACATATAATGTGCATACATTTAGAAATTTTAAATGTTGTAGTGTTTTGTGTGTATAATACACACAATAGATAATACATGTTTCAAAAAATGTAAGGTCTGAAAAGGGATGCAGTGACTCCCTCTGCCCCCTCCCCCCTCCCCCCTGGCCACCTGCCCCCCCCCCCTCTGCCTCTCCCTGGCAGCCTGTGGCCAGCGTCCTGAGCCTGGTGCAGATGCCGTCACCCTAGCTGACCCCTGTGCTGTGACCGAGCTTATACGCTTTGTTCTGTGTCCTGCATTTTTCACCAAACAACAGGCCTTTGAGACAGGTCCGTGTCTGTCCGTAGAGCTGTGCAATTGCTGGGTTTCTCGCTGCCATAACTTGACCTGACTAGGTCTCTGTAGCCGGACAGTTCGCTGGTTTCTGCTTTTCGCTCTTTACTGTTACGGAGAACGCAGCAGCGAATGAGCTTGTCTACTTTGCATCTGTGAAGCTGCAGGATCGGCTCTGCGGGTGGGACGGGCAGGGCAGCGGGTTGGGCGCTGGCAGCCTGACTGATGCTGCACGTCCTGGCAGAGCGCGGAGAGGGTGCCAGTTTGCCTTGAGCCGCAGCGTCAGAAAGTGGCCAGGGCCTTGATGAAGCTGTCCCTGCAGGTGCTCCGCCGGGCACATCCTAGGCGCCTCTCTCCCTCCATCATGGCCAGGCCTTTAATCTCATTTCCTAAACTTGCTTCATGATCTGACTCTTAGAATTCAGATTCCTGGGCCTTGCTGAACCGGAATCTGCGGGGGGTGGGGGTGCGGGGAGGGGGGCAGGGTGTGGGGAGGGGTCTGCATTTTTAACCAGCTCCGCAGGTGGCTCTTCTGTGAAGGCAGCTGTGGCCCTGCCCATTCACACACACTGGGTACATCCTCACCCTCCCTCCCCTTTGGGGCATCATCCCTTTAAGGGACAGAGGAGCTGTATGTGCCGCCCGCCTGGGGGACCCTGTACTTCCCTGTGTTTCCTTGCAGGAGCCTCCGCCTCCCCGGCTCTCTGGCTTGGCTGCCCGCTGCTGGTCCTAGCGCCCGAACTCGTGCGGTGAGCGGCCTGCCCGCACCCCCTCCATTGCCCGCGCTGCGCTGGAGGCCCCGGCCCAGAGCCTCCGCCAGGGCGGGGTGAAACGAAGCTCCCGGAAGGCCACGCTGGCTCCGTGCTTGGCCCAGTCCTCAGCCCATTCCAGCCTCTCGCGGGCCAGGCGGGGCAGAAGCTTTCTGGAAGGGGGGTGGGGGCGCGGCTGGCATCGGCCTGCGGACCTTCCCACGGGCGGGCTGGCGGCTGCCCTTCTCCGGGAGGCAGAGTGGGCGCAGCAGGGCTCCCGGGGCTCCTGGCTCCTGGGGTCTCCTCAGTGTGGCCAGGGCGGACACGGCTTCCTGCCTGGCTGCTGGGACTCATCGGCGTTCCGGGGCGTTCCATTGCTTGTGAATTAAAACCTTTAACACGATTCAACATTAAATCGATTTTAAAATACATTTTACAGACGCCTGCATTCCTCCGGGAGTCAGCCAGTGGACGGCTGGTTCCCGTGAGTCCTTTTGGCCCCGCTGCTCCGGGACAGGGTGGGATGGACTGAAATAAAAGGCAACACTGCGAAACCAGTCACCGCGGCTGTGGCCCGCAGGGCTGTGACCTTCAGGGCTGTGGCCCGCAGGCAGACAGCCTTTTGGGGGCTGGGAGAGGTACTTCTCCAAGTTTCAGGCCGCTCTTGGCCTTTGGCTCAGGGAGGCAAAGCTCAGGGAGGGGGCAGTGTGTGCTGCGCCCCTGGGCGCCGTGCCTCCTGGGTGACAGCCAGCCAGGTGCCCTCGCCACTCCGCCAGCACATCCGCCCCTCCTGTTCCCTGGCAGGTGGGTGGGTTTTTAAAGGGGGCATGGCCCTAGCTGGTTTGGCTCAGTGGCTAGAGCCTCGGCCTGTGGACTGAAAGGTTCCAGGTTCGACTCTGGTCAAGGGCATGGACCTCAGTTGCAGGCTCAATCAGGCACGTGCAGGAGGCAACCAATTGATGTGTGTCTCTCTCACATCGATGTTTCTCTCTCTCTCCCTCTAAAATAATAATCACAAAAAGAAATATGATAAAGAGACAAAAGACAAAACGCCCTTCATTCTCCTCAGAGGAGCCTGGCGCTCCTGGGTCTGAGTGGTGCTGAGCCCCTGGCCTCACGGTGGCAGCAACACGGACACATACGTGCTTCGTGCCTCAGCGATGGCCCGGCGGGCTGTGAGGGCTGCGGGGCCGCCGGGGCCTCAGCACCGCCTGCGCCCCAGAGGATCACCTCTCCATCAGAGAAGACGCGCAGCAACCGTAACCCAACAGCCTGGGCAGGTGTGCAGAGACGGGCATAGGTGAGCTGTCACAGGCGGTTAGGACAGGAAACGAAAAGGCAGGCGTTTGGAAGGGGTGGCCCGGCGGGTGCCATGTAGGCTAGGATTGGGTTTCCTGTCATCGGCCGGGACGGGGAAGGGCGCCGATGCCTCCCGAGCCAGACCATTTCTGTGGGTACAGGCCACGACGCCCGGGTAGCTGGGCGGAGCCAGCCCCTGGAGAGGGACGCTGGGCGGGGCCGTGTCTGTGCACATTTGGAGCAGAAAGGCCTCGATCTCGCAGGCACCCTGCGTACGCGAACCCTGCACTATCCTGGCGGTGACAGCAAACAACCCTCCTTGCAGTCAGACTCACCCGCCGATGGCATGTGACTGTGTCTCGCTGTCCCTGCCCGTCATGTGCTCTAATCCTTTCCTGGACCCGGGCCGTTTTGGAGGGCCAGCTCTGCCGGGCACTGCTCCGAGGGCTCGCCTCCCCCTCATCACGACCCTCAGGGGAGCTGCTATGATCCCCACTTTCCAGGTCAGGGGACAGGAACTCTTGTCACAGGCCTGTCTCATGGTGGGAATTAAATACTGGTTTTTTGTCTCCCGCAGAGCAGCCTCCTTTAACTTCTCTAATAAGTTAGATCAGAGAGAGATTCTATAAATTCTTTCACCTCTGCTTCTGGCGGGAGGCCAGCGTGCCTCACAGCACATATAATTGGTGATGGCCTCAGGCAGGAAGACAAATCCAGCTTGTGCCCCGCAGGCCCGGGTGCAGGGTGCAGGGTGCAGTGCTGTGCCCGCGGGGAGGGCTGCTCCGCTCACCTCGCAGTGCCAGCCCTGTGGGTGCATCCCGGTCTCCATCTGCACCCCCAGCTGGATGCAGGCAGCACAGTCACCTGCAGGCGGTGCCAGGGGCCAGCGCTGGTCCTGATGGTCAGCACCCGGCCACGCTGGCTGTGCTGAGTATCACCCCACCAGCTCCTTTGGCTGAACTCCCCCTTCAGGCCACTCCAGACACCGGGCCTGGTGTGAGGGCAGGCTGTCTCTCCGAAGGCTTTCCAGGTCAGGGAACGGCGCGTGGAGTAGGCACATTGCCCGCCTTCAGGAGCGAGCATCCTGGGCGAAGCCATGGCGCTCCCCAGGTGCGTGGTCACCTCGTCTGCTCACGCTCCCTTGGGGTCTACCGCATGTTCATCCACTCCCTGCAGGTCAGGCTGCGGGCCCCTGCTCTCCACGCTGCCTCTCCATGACCCACCCTGAGGCCCAGGGACGGGAAACCCGGGGCTCTGATGGCAGCCCAGTGGGTTCCATTGTGTCCAGCACAGTCCCGGGCCTGTGTCCCCGGGAAGGATTTGGGATGGGAAGAATGAACATGGCCACTCACCAGCATGGACCCCCATGAGAATCTAAGCTGCTGTGGGCGGAGCTTGTCTGTCAGCTCCTGCGGGGTTCCCGGCCCACAGCCCCAGCAG